AGTCATTGTCTAAACAATGCAATTTACGGACTTACAATTTTAAAAAGAAAGAAAACAATATTTTCTTTTCTCAAAAATTCTATTTTCTGTAAAAAAACGAGACCGGGTTTTTGAGGTTAGCTCGCCTTCGCAGGGTTGCAACTCTTTGTCCCGGCCATTGTAGCACGTGTGTTGCCCAGGATGTAAGGGGCATGCTGACTTGACGTCATCCTCACCTAAGCATTTCGTCGCTTACTACGCCCTTCTTCGTCTCTGAGTACCTAGGTATCCACCGTAAGCCCTTCCTTATTTGAACCTATTACCTTCCTATATATGTATATGTGACAATATATGCCTGGATGCACCTGACCATAATGGTGTCCTCGCCCCTGGGGTAGTTGAAGAAGTCATGTGAGTATGCCCTTGGATGTGTATACCATTCACCCACATGGGCTAGGAATAATTGCCTAACAATTGCCTAACTTCTCTTCCTTTTCCTTTTCCCTTTTTCCTCTTTGGCTGACTTTCAAGCATTTGAAATCTGAATTCTTATGCTCGCAGATGCCTGTGATGGATGGGTATTCAGCGACTCGCGCAATACGTGAAATGGAGCAAGAAAATCCAGGAAAGCATAGTCATTTGCCAATCATTGCTCTCACTGCCCACACAATGGCGCACGACAAAGCGAAATGCCTCGATGCAGGTATGGATGCCTACTTAATGAAGCCGATGAGGGTTGATCAGGTGCTGGGCGTCGTCAAGGAGTTCTGTTTTGGTCGAGATGCTTCTGCTTCTCAATAGCCGTTTCGACTTTTTCTTTTAAATTTCCACTCCGCATTTTGTTGTTTCGGACTTTCTCTGGTTTGCCATATTCATGTTTTCCTCCTGGGACCGCAAACTGTGGAGTCTCTGAAATTTTCCAACAGTCAACGGAGCAAAGCTTGGCCCTTTCTCCCAGGAGCAAAGAATGACTATGGCTCCCTCTGGCATTTTTGCCATAGTCGACGGAGCAATGCCAGCATGGAGGCACTGGTCGTTCCGCAAAGACGTGGAAAATTCAAGAAGCATGGAGGCAGCATCAACGCGATTGCAAGACGCCGAAGACGGACGTACCAGGCTTTAATACGGTTGTTCGCCGATGAAAATGGAAAACTCGTTGCCGTGTCGGATGAGTAATCTCTGACCTTATTACTTCACTATATGCGGGAAAGTCCTAACCTATTTATTGAATGAATTTCAAGCAAATATGACAGGATTGTCGACCCCACTATCTGCCACCATTCTGCCAGTTACAGGTCAAAAAAAGGTCAAGCAATATCCAGGCTGGGGAAGTGCAAGTTGAGCTCCCAACAAGGAAGGAACTTGCTTGATGATTGATAGAAGAGGGAGGAACTTCGGGTGATGGGTGCGCAGCACACGTTGTTGTGTACCAGAGTCGACATCAAGAAAAGGGCACATAATTAGCGAAGCCGCCGACCATATGTTCATTGTCATCTATGCGTGCTTCTTTAATGACAGTTTTGGCGATTGATAGAAGAGGGACCAATGGCGTGACAAGGATGCCCTCACGGTTCATTGGAATGAGAGGGAATGAACATCAAAGCATGGCAGACGTAAGGTTTCCAGAATAGGCTTTGATGATGAAGATTGACAAAAGAGGATCTCACCGCGGCGAGAGGCTTAAGGAAGTTAAGGTGGCTGGAGCCAAATCTGAGAGGGATGAAAGGCCAAGAGAAGTTGAAGGATCATGTCATTGTCACTACAGACAGAGGGTGTAGGAGATGGGAATCTGGCATTTCCTCTCCGATGCTGGCTCTTCCTTTGAGAGATGCAGGCCATCATATTCTATTTCTAGTGGCCTTCTCGCCAGCCGGCATTCCGGCATTTCCTTTCGGAATATAGCCACCATGATGTGGTGTCGGCTTCGGAAGCCGGCAGTGCATTGATGCTGAGTCCTTCCTTTCTTTTTGTGTTCACATAAAGAATCCTCTAGAGCCTGCCCCTAACTGAGGTCATTCTCACACTACCGTCTTCCTTTGAACATAACTTACCCTGATAATGAATTTATACAAGCTATGTTTCAGGTCAGGTACAGCCAAAATGAGGGTGCGTTGTGTTCAGAGGAAGACAGTAGGACTGTAGTGACTGCATCTGGCCTCCATACAGCCAAGCTCACTACTCAAAGTACTCTCAGTGTGAGTATGCCCCCTCCTAGGTCAGCCAGCCTGCACTTTTCCTCATTTGACGCACGGATTGCTCTGGTATTGTTAAATATCATCATCCAAGGACAGCTGATGCTTTGAGACATCCTATATGAGGCACACATACAGCCACACACCTCATCTGCTGGCATCCTTGGCTCACACACAGCCACACCTCATTTGCTGGCAGCCATTGTGTGCTTCTTCAGCAAATGATGGTACCTCTCATGCCCGGCCGTACTCAGGTCTCCTAGGTGAGAAGCCTCTGGTCAAAGGAAGAGAACAAAAAAAAGATGCTGTCTCTCTGCAAAAGTGTGCACAACGTCCCACACCTCTCCTCATGTGCCCGTTAGCAAGTACGCCATGCCCAAGGTCAACCGTGTCAGTCTACTGTGGAAAGGCCTGCTTCCACCCATTCCTGGTAGCGTTTGTCTGCTTGGTCGTGCGCTCAGTTTCCAGATCGATCTTTAGCAGAATAGGATAAGGATAAGATCGCCTAGTATTCTACAACGAAAGGACGCCATGCCGCTGCCAAGCCATTGCCACGTCAGTTTTCTGCCCCATCTTGAAGCGGGAGGGCTTCACAGGGTCACTAAGTGGTTAAAAAGTGACTGTCGCAATTTGCATGGTTGGTTACATGGACAATCTTGTAATTTATGAATCAAGGAAGTAATAGAAGATGGAAAAAAACATTTCCTTCATCACAGTCGCAGGCCAAGCCAGGCCAGCTGCGTGATCAGGAAACTGCATAGTGATCCGTACGGCACCTCGTACACATACGGCCGTACGAATCTGTACTCGTACGCCACTCATACGGGAGGGGCCCCGTACGGATTTTTTTATTTTTTTTTTGGGGGGGGCTGGGCTGTAAGGGTGTTGGCTAGTGTCCATGCACCCTGTATACCTGAAATCAGCCGAAAAAAAATGTGGAGTTCCAAGGCTGGTAAGGTTTCTGTGTTCAGTCACTCGTCACTCTACGCAGAGTGAACGAGTCCCTAATGAAACCCCAAAAGGCAGCACAGATGAGTAGTCCTAGAAAGTGAAGAAATTTTAACAAAACAAAATTGGATGATTGGACAGGGCATTAATTCCTGGGAAAAAAGACTTATAATCCTAGACTAAGTACAGGAGAGGAGAAAGAAGGCTGGCAGGCTAGAGGTGAGAAGATCATCGAGGAAGGGTGGGAGTCCGTGGGACAAGGGAGAAAAGATGGCAGGAGAGAGGCCAGAGAGGGAGAGGGAACCACATCCTACTACTACAGGATGTGAGAAAGAAGGCTGGGAGGCCAGCGGTGAGAAGACCATGACGGCTGCTGCCTGAGGTGATGACGCTCAACATTCTTGTTGATTGCTTAATAGTAATTCAGCCAATTCCAGTTTCACATCATCAAGGGTGGGTTTCGAAAACTTTCCATGGGTGGAGGTCATGGAAAAATAGACCTGCGTCCTGGGAAGGGGCAGAATATGCTCGGCGATTGCCCCCATGACGGAAGTAATCAGGCAGCTGCATGCCATCTGTGAGGGGTACAAGAAGCGGAGCCGGCAGGATTGCGGAGCTTAGCAGAGGACGCTGACGTCGAAAGGGTGGACATATGTTGTTGGAAGGCTGTCAATCTTACTACCATCTTCCCCCGAACACAACGCACCCTCATTTTGGCTGTATCTGGCCGGAAATATAGCTTGTATACATTCATTTTTAGGGTGCGTTATGTTCGGGGGAAGACGGCAGCTTGCTGCCTGAGGTGCGGGTGGTCCAGGAAGGAAATGGCTGCACAAAACAGAACGCGAGCACAACAAAGTTCTTTGTAAGAAACATATGTGAACCATATTTTGTTTGCAAGGAACAAAGCCACCTCTCTCTCTCTCTCTCTCTCTCTCTCTCTCTCTCTCTCTCTCTCTCTCTCTCTCTCTCTCTCTCTCTCTGTGTGTGTGTGT